TAAAAAATAGTTGATTGATAAATTATGTAAATTTCGTCTTTTATATATGGGTGTGGTTTGCATAAAGTCGTAACATTAAACAATCTAATTGCAGCCACCCAATTTCACATTCAATGAACAAGATTAATGCGACCACTTTGTATCGAATGTAAATGATCTCGTTCTATACTTTCCCAAGAAAAAAAGTTAGTAAAAAGATTAGATTGTAAACATATTATCAGTATTTACTTACCATTAAACGTACTTGCACTTCATCCGCAGTCAACAAATGTGCATTAGACAAGACACGTGACCAAGACATTAAAGCTAATGAAGCTGAAAACGAAATCTTGTCTACCAATCAAACCTTCGCTCTCCAAACACCAAATGTACACGGGGAACAATAGTCACCTTAAAACTGATTGAGAAAAATCTCATGGCTGTGCGATCTTAGTGGGTTGCTTAATCTTGTGGCCTTCATGGTGTCACGTAATACTAGTATTTAGATAATTATTTAAGAGATATGACTTTTTCGAGCCGACTCATTTGTAACACAATATGGGTTAGATGGTCAAGATCGTGTTGGGTGAATGTGGCGATTAAAGGCCTTGTAAAATGAAATTATATAGTGGAACACGAACTCAGTGGAAATGTGGTCCCTTATGGACCATATTAAGCAAACAATGTTTGTTGATACTGGCCCGTACTTGACGTGCTAGGTCAGTCTGGTTGGGGAGAACCCATGTTGCCTGGGCTCTGAGAAGTGTACAGATGAGGGTTATATGGGTTATTCCTTGATAAGGTCGGAGTATACTCAGATGAGTGAGCCGCGGGACTGTATAGCCTTTATGTACGATGGAGGCCTTTAGGGACGAGGCCAAAAGCCTTATCATTTGTTCCATCACACAGCATGCACATCGATAGTTGTTTTCGGAAAAGCGTACCATCTTTTAGGGTGAAGAGTGTCCATATGCAAGAGATACCCCCTGTGCACCATCAAGCTATAGATTGCATCAGATCAGGATGACCTTGTGTTTCGTCTTCGAGGGGGGGGGGGGAAAGGCACCTGAAATCCATATACTGGCACTACAACCCTTGCCTATTAGCTAAACTTTGGTGACCCACTAATGATCCCCTGCATAAACTGTGGGTCATGTGCAATATTAGGTTGGTTCAAGAAAGCATGTCTGGTTCGTGGTTGAACATGGAGTGCCCTAGTGGATATTTTCCTATCAAGATTTTAATTTTTTTATTTTAATTATGTTTAATTTTAAAATTGTTATTTGAATTTTTTTAAATATCTGAATATTTTATTTATCAAATTTGGATTTATAAAAATGGAGATATTGAATTTATAATGATTTAAATATTCAAATAATGATTTTGTGTATTTCTAAAATTATAAAAATAACTTAAAATGCATGAGAGACCTAATAGGTCATTTGGGCCCACCATTGCATGTTGGGTGGGGCCTATTATGTGCCACCATGGGTGGCACGCCCCACCTATGACATCTTTCTTCTTTGGTGTTCAAGCTTTGAAGCTTGAGAGAAGAGTTTGTGTTGTTTTTGAAAGTTTAAAGCCTTAAGGAATATTTGATTAATATTTTGGAATGTGTGGGAAGGCTTATAGATAAAAATAAAAAAAGATAATGTTATGATATGTTAATTTTTTATTTAAAGTAATTGATAGGAAAATAGTTTAGAAAGTGGGAGACAATGGTCTAGCACCTTCTATAGGATGTTGATGACCCATCTATGGAATGGAGAGCTCAGATCTCTCATCCCACAAGTCATCAAAGATCAACAGTTCATATTCAATCTCATGTGAATGACAAGCTAAAGAAAACCCTAGAAAACCTTAATCCTATTCAAGCACTATAAAAAATGATTGATCCCTACCCAAATCTCTACACTTTATCTCTTACCACATATTTCCATATCTCTCTCATCCATCTAGGGGGGTATGCCTCACTCTAGGGAAAATCTCCGTCTCTTAAGAAAGTTTCTCTCTCTCCTTCAAGAGACCAAAAGGGGCAAGCCCAACTATCTCATCTTCGATATTTCATCTCATAGTGGTTCTCTTTACTCTCTCATGGAGTCTCTCATCTTCTCTCATCACTCTTTGGGGTTTTACATTATAGGGTTGTAGTAGAAAAGAGAAGCATATCTCTAAAACTACATTGCTAAGGAGATTCACCTAAGGGTTTGACATTTGTGATAAAGTGGTTCATGTTCCATTGGTATGGCTTGTTCAAACTTGTTTTCCTAATTAAAATTGAAGGTTGATCATTAGATCCTGCGTCATCAGAATGTGGTGACTCGGTGTGGGGTGTAAGAAGCCCAGTTGAGGTAATCTCCGACACTCTTTTTTTTTTTTCATATATTTATTTATTATATCTTTTATTCCCAAGCATAGGTTGTGTCTTTTTTTTGTTAATGAAATATGTGGTTTTGAATGGCTTCAAGTTCTTGAGATCCTATTGTATTATTTTATTTTATTTTATTTGAAGTTGTTATATTGTAAAAAGACTTCTTGTAAGTGATCTAAACCGTGAAGAAAAGAAAAGAATTAAAAAAGAAAGAAGAAAAATTATATACTTCGGCTAAATCATACGTATCCTTCTTTCCGATCAAAGGAGAAAACACAGAGCAGATAAGCAGAGAACAATAGACTCAACCTCAAATTTGTTATATATTTTTAATATATTGATGAGCCCTCAGTTTTTCATTTAATAAAATAAGAGAAAATACAAATCATAGTATTACAACCTTACAACATGACAATTGTATCAAAAACAAAAAAAAATGAAATCTAACGATCTAGAACGCTAAACTTTAACATGAGATAAAGATAAAATTAAGTATGCCATTGATTCATGTCGTTCTCCTTCAATCTTGGGGATCTACACTGTGGTGTAGGCCAATCGATTCATAATTTTTTTTCCATTAGTTAATATCAATCGACTTTCAAGCCAAAGGTGCCCCTTTCAATTTTGAGACAAAGAATTTTCTTTATTTTTGGGTCGATTTTCGTGTATTGATTCTTATAATCAAAGTCCTGACCTCGTCCTTTAAATTCAGAATATCAAAGCAATAAACTAAGCCTTATTTATTCTGTCATTAAAATATTCACATAAATGGGAAAAAATCAACTAAATTGCTAAATATTCCAATTAGCCTTTCAACAACTTAGACGACCGACCCAAAGATGGGCTTAGGCCCCACAAAATATTTCCGAAAATCCCACCAAACTGCAAAGATGACATGTGGCCAGACCCGCTTAAGTTTACCAACAATGACCTATATCTAACTCGATGAAAAAATAAATTGAAGGGCATTTTTGTCATCTTTGACATCGACTTGTGATACAATGTGCTCATGTTGCGTATCAAAACGATAAAAATCTTTCGTGCCCCAAAAATTTTAAAATGGTTGCCTTGCTTTACATGCTAAGGTATCTTGGGGTTTTGGGTTTTCATTTTTTAAAAATTTAAAACGTTTTATGGGGATTTTTTTAATAATAAAATGTACAGAGAATTTCGAGTTTGATGCCCAATGTTAACAACAAAATTCCATAGGCATAAAAATTTAAAATAAGAAGTGCGGTTTATACAAAGTGTCAATATTAAACAATCAAAGTAACCAAGTACCTCTAAACTCCCTCAAAAGATGAGGCTTTACTGTCGAAAACCCTCAAAATGGCCTGACAATTTATCTCTACCCCTTATTATGAAATTTAAAGCTAAAAACATAGTAAAAATCAAACAATTTCTGGACACTTTAAAATATTAAAAAATAGACAAATGAGATAATGTATTACAAACTACAGTATTTTAAAGACTCGAAATTTCTTTTAATATTCATACATTACGAAGCCGAGATGTTCACTTGAAGAGCTTTCTAGCTTCAGGGCTAACGTTTCTGGTGGGTTTTGAAGCCTATCGTACTTTTACGGTATAAGTTGATAGTATTTTCAAATGAGTTTCCATGTACAATGTACTTTTGTATTATTTTAAAAACTTTACCAAAATTCCCACAAGAGATGTATTATTTAGCATTTTGTACATTATAAATATAACCATTCCAAATAATGATCATTATTATTTGAAAAAAGTTTATATAGAGCCAAGGCTCTAAACAATCAAATTAGAACCTCCATCAAAAATTTCATTGGAAGAGATTGTTTTGATGCTCAAACGTTATCAAATTGATCATCTCGACATCAATATGCATGGACATGAGAAAAAAATGGATTTCAAGTTTTGAAAATAATGTATCTTGTAATGTATTTTTAGACAGTCAATTTTCAAGATTTTCAAGTTTTTCATAAAGATGCTCGACCTACAATATTTTTTAAACATTAAATTATATAATTAAAAATAAAAATATATTTTAAAGCTATCACAATGATTTCTACTATTGAAACCACATTTCTCAAGCCTATTGAAGGTGGGTTTTACTTTAATTGTAATTGTTTAGAGCCTTGGCTCTATACAAACGGCACCCTTATTATTTTGATGGGTATTTTAAAATTAAATCAAACAATACGAGTAAACAATTGAATTAATTTATCCTCATAGCTATTTTGATATTAATTATTTTAACATCAATAAACATAAAAAAAATTGATTATAAAGAAATGAAGAGAATTTCGCTGGAAAAGACAATGTAGACAATAGATATATAAACTGAGAAAGAGGAACCCATGCGATTGACACCTGTTTGAAGCCGCGTGGGTCACCTACTTTTGAATTTTGAATCTTTCGTCCTCATTCGATGTGTGCGTAACGCCATGTTGGAGAGAGAGAATTGAGAGAGAGAGAGAGAGAAAGAAAGAGAGAGAGAGAGAGAGAAATGAAGAGTATATCCCGCTCGGTCCCTCAATGATGCGAAATTCCTTCTGTTCCTTTCGGATGTAAAAGGCTAAAAGCACTCTTCCTTTCATTTACACAAGGGAGAGAGAGAGAGAGATTCTGACCACAATTACCAGTATGTGGAGGTATGGAGAGATGCTTCACACATAGTCAAGTCTATGATTTTCAAGTAAGATTCCCAGCTCTTGAATGCAAGACCAGTTCTTAGAGAGAGAATGAAAAAAACTCAAGTTCCTGATAATTCAAAACTTACCATACAATTACCAGTACTTGAATCCCTCCATCATTATGATTGGACCTCCACTGCCACCCTTCCCTACACCCTAACATTTTTACAGAAGAACCTTACAGAAAAAACCAAATAACAAAACAGACAAAGAAGCTAAAAAAAATGACATTAATTGACAAAAAGAAAAAAAGTAAAAATAAAACTTTTTCCCTTCCATCACCCCCAAAATAAGACTAGGACAGAACCAGCCTCTGCAAATACTTTACAACTCTCTCTCTCTTTCTCATGTCAATCAGCACACTTCATGTCTGTCAAATAAACCTGGCATTGTATCACACTACCCCCAACCTTAAACCCTGGCATCACACTGAATCCGACCTTTGGCCGACCTCTAAACTCCTCATCGGCCACCAAATTCTTCACGACACTCTCCATATAGACCTCTGAAAATTCGGTCCCTGTCTTCACCTGAAAAATCTCGACCTTAGGCTCAAAAGAGAAGGCCAATCTATGGACAAGCCATACAGCCTTTGCAAGCTTCAAAAAAGCCTGATAAAATGGTGTTCTTGGATGACCCCCATTTAAAACATAGTTTCTTTGATCCAAATTCCCAAAGAACGAGGCCTCCATTTTGGGGTGAACCAAATTGACATATTTGGACCTGCAAAATTTCCCGAATACACAGTTTGGGTTCAAGCTCACTATATCCAATGGGTCCATGGCCCTCACAGCGAGGAATTGGTGAAAAAATCCCTCTTTAGAAACGGATAGCCCCTCTAACTCTTGAGAGAGGTTTGAATCTAGAGAGAGGCTTGCTTTTAGAGATGGGTGCGATTCTAGGGAGAAGCTCTCCTCCTTGAACCCACTAAACATGCGGCGGCAAACATAGGACTCAAATGCATATTTCTTGTGGGCCCTCTTTGCATACACAACCCCTGGCTCAATAGAGGTAGCCGCTGCATCCAAGTCCCAACCTGAAGCCTTCATCAAGTTGATTAATGGCTTAGAAAAGTCATGAGCACCTCGAGAAGCTGATTCCACCCAAGAAGAGAACAAGTTTGGCGTCAACTCCATTGCAAAAAAACCATTCCCCTCTTCTGCCTCTAAAAACCCATTTCCATCTACTTCTGAGAGCTGGCTCGAGAGGCCCCTCTGTTTAAGCCTCTTCTCGAGCTTGGCTTTCCTCAGGTTCGAGTCCTCAAGCTGTTGCCTCAGTTCTGATATCTCAGACTCTTTGGTTTCAATTTGGGTTTGAAATTTCTTCACCATAACCTCATAAGTCTTCAATAATGATTGTTGCTCTTGAATTTCATTGAGAAAGTGAGAATCTGTCGTATAAGAAATCGGTTTCTGCTTATAAGTCTCTCGAAATGACTGCTTGAGTTTAGAGAGAGATTTTAGCTCTGAGATCACGAGCAAGTCAGCTTCTTGGACCTTTTCAGGGTCGTAAGGAGTATGTGCAGCTTGAAGCTGGATATAGGCATGTTTAAGAGAGGAAATGTTAGAGAAGAGAGTGTTTATAAGGCTTTCCAAGGCTTCAATGGCTTTGGGGTCCTCCATTGGTTGAGGGTGGACCTTCTGTTTATCGTTTCCTTCAGAGGTTCGAGTAGCATCACTGCTGTCTTCTAAAGAGTTGTTAGAGTTTGAGCTAGGGTTTTCATCAGAGAAAACACCTATGGACCTGAGCCTACAGACTTTAGCAAAGCGGTGGACTATGTCAGTTATATTGGATGCAGGCTTTGCAATGTCCATTCGAGAAAGAGAGACAGCTCAGGGTTTCAGCATGAGCTTCGATTCATGCCTGAGTCGAAGGATAGGGTGTGAACTGTAGGGCTGGATACCTGGAAATTATAACAAAACTTATAACATAAGAGCTTGGGTTCTTCAATAGAGAACCATCATAAGCATGAAAAGAATTTATTAGAAAAACAGAAAATCTGAGTGCCAAGGATTTGATTTAACTCAGTAAATTTAACAGGGGGGGAGCGACTTTAGAGATGTTGTGCAATCAGATACCTCGACAGTCATTTTAAGTATAGCATTAACCTTTGAAGTTCAACAAAAGAAAAAGGGTAAAGTAGAAGATCTGAGGCAAGTTGTGTGTGTTCCATGTATTAAAAACCGTAAAACTTAATTCCTAACTGCAATAACGTAGAACTTGATTAAAATGGGAGCTACAAATTCCTCAAGTTCAGCAGATTAAAAGGCCAATTCCCCGAAAGTCTATAAATACCCAAAAGGCTGCTCAAGATGACATGAAATGAACTCTTATATGGAAACATGTAGGATTATAATTTTTGATAAGTAAATCAATCATGAATTAACAGTGGGCAGTGTAGAAATTATTCAAGAGACAACAGTGTTCAACAAAAAATCTTAAAACATCATAAACAAATGGAAAATCACTAACGTAATTGTCAAAAGTTTGAACAAATACAAAGAACTTGTTTCATACACAAAGTCAATTAGATACAGCCAATGTCTGTAAGGTTCTGCAAACAATGCTAGATACAAACAAATCTCCATGCATTATTGACCTGAATATAACAAAGTAGAGCAGCTACTAAGTGACCAAAACTTGACAAAATACCAGAAGGTCATCGAAAATTGAAGCATCAAAAGAGGATTACGTATCTGTGGACATTAAAATATCTTTATTTCACATTCAAAATGCTAAAATTGTTATACCCATATAAACCTATCTGTGGACATTAAAATATCTTTATTTCACATTCAAAATGCTAAGATTGTTATACCCATATACTTTCTTAAAACACCCAAATACCAAAAAGTCATCGACTTGTAGTAGTATTTGAACTTTGGAATCAAACCATAAATAATTGCAATACACAACAATACACACTAGTATTTTAGTATCTTAGTACTAGAGTATGAAGAACTGAGAGGAGCAAACAACCCAAATGTCAGTTGAAAATTACTCCTAAAATATGTTAAATTTACAGAGTCAGAGGCTACACTCGAATATTTAAAACCCCCAACAGGCCAACATAACCCACTGCAATACCCTGAAACATTGCAATTTTTTTTATAAATATTGTCATAATACTTGAGATTACCTAAACATTCAGCCACAAGAATTTTCAGATGAATACCGTTAAATATATGCTTAACACCCAATAATAACACAAAAAATTCGTAATATTGTGAGTATGATATGGAAAAACCCAGGGAAAATGAATCAATGAGTAGAAAATATTAAATTGGAATTCTCGCTATCAGTTAATACTGAGCACAAAATCAATGGCTTGAGGCTTCCAGAAAAAGAATAGCCGAATATAGCTATAACGGGTAGCAAAAGTTCAAAGTTGCTCTCTTATTTGTTAATAGAGCCAGAAAGCATCAAAACACCTCAAACAGTGGTAAAAGACATGGCAACTTCTCAAAGTTTTCTGTTACCTAAAAATACATGACACATCAATATACATAAACTCCACTTGAGCCTAGATAACCGAAATATATACAAATAAAATCCCAATAAACCCAAGTTCTCAAAATAAATATTCAAATATCAGTAAAGACAACAAGCGATCGAAGGTTTTGCATAAAATCCCCAAAATTTCTATCATATATAACCAAAAGGGTTTCTTACCACAAAAACGGAAAATGACAAATATACACCAAAAATTTCAAATAACTTAAAGAGGCGAAAATGCACAGAAATACCAAAAAATAGTCCAAAATAAGGGAATTTCTTTTGCTTTTATTTATTTAACAAAGCCAACAGTTGCAAAAAACAAAAAGGAATTTTCAAATGCTATGACTTAAAAGTTAAAAACTATTATGTTGCCCCAAAAATAACGCCATTTTGGAGATTATAAATAAAAAAAGAAAAAAGAAAAAAGAAAAAGAAAAGACAAATGAATGTTTCATTAGACTCAGATACCAGCTGACTACAAGCTTCCTAAATGTTTCATCGATATTTTTCAAAATGCGAGAAAATTAGTTACAGGTCGATTAATGCGGAAATATCAATCTGGAACAACACAATGCCTCGATATTTCTCGTGAAACCAATAAATGCCAAATGACTGCATTAAAATACTGTAAAATGAGAGAAAACGTGGAGCTAAGTATCCAAATCTCAAAACATCGGCGACATGAATCAAAACTTCACTGACATCTTTACAATATTTAGCTAAAGACATATCAAAACACACCTTACACAGAGGCATCAAAAGAAGAAGCTTGTTTTCTAATCAAACTCCCTCCAAGATCGGCCTAAGTTGCAGAGTTTTGAGTTATGAACCAGAAGCGCACAAAAACACAGTAAATGAATACCACGGAGCCAAAAAACCTTAGCAAATGCAGCGTAAATGGCAAGGGATCTCAGAAATCCGCCATTAAAGGTGAAGATCGAAAGCTTGTGATACAAGAAACCTAAAAGACAGGGGAGCTTCAGAGCCTCGAATTCGGCCGTTCTCCTTTGATTTTGCTCAGTAAGAACCTTGAGGTTTTTTATTGGTTTTCTTTGTTTTTCTCCTGCAATGTGGAAACCAGCTTACGCCTGAGAGCGGTGTTTCTTTGTTTCTTTCCCTCTTTCTCTCTCTAAAACTCTCTCTTACTCTCTCTCTCTCTAAACTCTCTTACTCTCTCTTTCTAAAAGGTCTCTCTCTCTTCGGAGTTCAGACAATTCTCTCTCATTTCAACACGGTGTTTGTACCATGAAATGGACTGGACATGCCATAACAATTTACGTAATGGCGGTACGGTCCTTGTTTCTATATAGGGTAAAAGTTAGGGAAAAAGTTGAAAAAGATCGGTGGGAAATGACATAAACAACCCTTTATTCGAAATCGTGCAAAAATTGTCGCACCCGAGTGACGAAAATACCCTTGACATGGTGACTCGTGTGGTTTCAAATTGTGGGGCCTAATTTTTGTGAGTTTCGGCATCCAACAAAAAAAAAAGCGAAGTTATGACGAAATATCGAGGAAACTGCATTTCGGCGAATTGAATGAAGACTTTGGCTGTCCTTGTCAGCATTTTGTCGACTAGATTGGCAGGATTCAATATGAGCCTTAGGGCCTATATTGTTCCATTGACAACGAGACTCATAATATCCAAATAATGAAATTGGGAAATTTATGTAAGGGAAATGTTTATATAGAGCCGAGGCTCTAAACAATCAAATTAGATCCTACCTCAAAAATTTCACTAGAAGAGGCTTTTTTTTTTATATCAAAATATCCTCAAATTGATCATCTTGACATCAAGATGGATGGACATAAGAAGAAAAATGGATTTCAAGTTTTGAAAATAATGTATTTTGTAAGGCATTTTTGGAAGGTCAATTTTGAAGATTTTCAAATTTTCAAAGATATGTGGATCTACACTATTTTTTGAGCTTTAAACTTTAGAAATAAAGATGAAAATATATTTTAAGGCTATCACATTGATTTTCAGTATTAAAACCACATTTCTTGATACTATTTGAAGGTACGCACTAATTTGATAGGCCCTATACAAACTGTGCCTTTTATGCAAACATCCTATATAATTTTCAAATTATCTTCGATATTTTATATTTTACATTCATCTCCCATATTTTTAAGAGCATGATAATATTTCAATTTTCTCTTTTTTATATATTAGATTATTTTTAAATTTTGTACATTCATAGTTCTCATCATAAGAAGTAAAAAAATAATTAAATAAAAATAAAATGTTTCAAAGTATCTATACAAATTTTAGGGGTATTTTCATCCTTTATTTATTTAATTTTATTATTTCCATATTGTTACATGTTCATTACGGTGAGGAGTATGGATATCTAAAAATTGAGCTTAATCTTATGTATATAAAATTAAAGTATTAGATGTGCTCTAAAAAATAAAACATAAACATAAAATATAAAATATTAACTATAATTTTTTAAATTTAAATATATAGATAATATTTACAAAATTTTCCTTTCCATAAGAGCATGTTGTACTTTATGAAAATTTCAAAACAAAAAAACATAAAAAGATCACAGGAAAGTGTCTTACCAACAACAAAATTCAAAAGGGACCGTATATCATGTAGTGCACTATCATTTAATCGCTACCATATGTTCTCAATGACGGAAGTAGGAGATGAAATGCTGGAGTGGGAAATGATTCCTAGCAACTCATATGCTGGGAAAGGGGTTGGGCGGTGGTTGTGGCATTTTCATACCCGGTTACCACATCGTGGTATTCATTCCCACCGTTCACATCTTCTAATTAACATCTGCAAAATGTAACTCTCTAAACTATTGAAAAAAACGGGTAGGGGCCCGTCTAAAAGAAGGAAAAAAAAAAAACATGGTATATGCTCTCCTTAGAAAAAGAAATCTCTCTATGTATGTCATAACCGCGTTATATCTAAATGGATGATCGAGATAGTTTCATTGATAATATACTCAATATTATTTTTAGTTAAAATATTTTTTCCATATAATTTAACCCAAAATTTAAGACATATACTTTCTTAATAGGGCCACATCAAATAAAAATAAATATAAATATATGTATAAAATGAATTTGGACCGTTGATTTTCAATATTTTCAGTGTCTATAGATCTGCTGAATCTACATTCTTTTTTAAGCTTTAAATTTTATAATTAAAAATAAAAATAAATTTTAAGGTCATTACAAAGTTTTTTACTAGAAAAATTATCCTTAGATATATATAGAAGTACACCTTACTTTGATTTTTTCGGACTTCAACCTTATACAAGCCACACCCTTTTTTGTAACCATCAATTCGTTCAATTTTTTTTTTTTTTTTTTTAAGGGGTATGATATTGTATAAGATTGAGGCTCTAAACAATCAAAGTAAGGAGCACCTTCAAATATTGTTGAAATATATTGTTTCTGAATCATTGTGGTATAAATTTTTTTTTCATCTCTAATTGTAAAATTTAAAGATTAGAGATAGTGTAGGTTGAATATATCTATGAACACTTGAAAATATTGAAAATTGACGGTATAGATAATACATTACAATATGCATTATTTTCAAGACCTGAAATCTAGTTTTTATCATATCTAGACATCTGAAAGTCGAGATGATCAAAATCAGAGTTTTTAGCATCGAAAGAACATCTTCTAATTAGTTTTTAAAGTACGCTTTAATTTGATTGTTTAGGGCCTCACCCTTATATAAACTTTTCACTTTTTCGAGTTTTCCTTCAATCGTACAATACAGCCCGGTTATTATGACACATGGGGTTGATTGGACGGTGGAGATTAGAGCATGGATAAGCTAGAAAATCGAAACTTGCAGTAGGATTAAAAGTGTAAAATCTCCACCATCGATGTGGTGTGGTGGGACATTCATATGCTTTGGAGGTCCCACTACAACTCCCCAGGGCCAACTGACCAATAAACTAGCTGACTCGGCTCACTATACTATTACACTACTCATGCATGTTAATGGACATATAATACCTTTCTTAAAAGGTCTTATGAAAAGCATAAATTCGATTGAACATTTGTTCAAAGTAAAGTCTCATTGCTTTATCTTTAACCATCATTGTCAATAAGAAAAGAAGTCTTTAGCTATGATTTTTCAATCGATTACAAATGAAAAACTTAGCGATGATAATGTTTTGTCAAAAAGAGATATGCAAATAAGTACCCTCATAAGATTTGGAATGTCTCTCTGCCGTAATTTTAGTTTCTTGACGAGAAAAAGTAACCTTAAAAGTGAAAAAGAACCAAAATCAATCCATCCATACAGTAAATAAGGAAGATAACATGGTAATTAGAAGCAATGCAATGATACCACCCTCAAATAAGGAAAACTAAAAGTAAAAAGTTTATATAAGGGCAATGGTTTAAAAAGCGGATCGGTGACCCAGATCAGGCATCTTAAAAACAGATCCGGATCGGTGAATCTAGGATCCGGATCGGGAATCGGCTGAATCGGTCGGATTAAAGCTTCAAAAAAATCCGAAAAAATGATTAAAATTCATTATAAATGTTGTTTTTTAGGAATCCAATAAGAAATGAGGGTACTATATTATTAACTTTCATTTTTCTCATCAATTTGTATATATTGAGATGCTTTTTCCCTGTATAAACTTAAATTAAATATTAAATTTGCATCACATAAAAAAAAATCATAGAATTATCATGGATAAAATATATAATTATACATGGACTATTATAAAGTGTAGACTAATCAATGAAAGAATGGCCATTAAAATATTGTTTTGGCGAAAAACCCTAATCCGCTAAAAAAACCTAAATTATTACAACCTAACTAACTATAATCCAAAATTATTACAACTTAACTAATTATAATATTATATACTGAAATTATAATTATTAGTTTACATTTTATAATTATTTTATTAGACAAGTAATAACAAATTGAAAATATTTTAGAATATTATCTAATTGAAAAGTGATTAAAAATTTATTAGAAGAGGCTTCCATATCATATGACTAAAATTAAAAATAAAACCACCAATAAATTCTAATGTAATTATATTAAAAGATTCAAAATAACTTTACCCAAAAAAATGAAAAATAAAGATGCCAAAATTCAAAAAAAAATCCTATCGGCAATATGCACAATAGCCACAAAAAAATTAAAATAAAAATAAAATATTGTAATAAAACCCATCGAAAAAACTATTTTACTAATAAACATCAAAAAAATTTATATGGCTATTTTTTAATTTGGCACACTAAATTAATGAGTGCTATTAATTTATTTTTTAATTTTATATAGCCGTTTATTAGTGCTATTAATTTGACACGCTAAATTAAAACGCTACACATATGGATAATGGCTTGCAATAATTAATAGCTTGTGTGACGATGGCTTGCACGTTGTTGAAGGCAAGTAGGAATTGTCCCACATCGGAAATATCAAGCGACTTCCAAGTTTATAAAAGATGTGAGGTTGAGCTCTTCAACAGCGTGCGAGCGAAAGGTACATGGGGTAACACGTGGTTATATATGATTGTGGTACTGTGCCGTCCAACAATATCGAAAATTACCTGTCTTTTTAAGACAAATATCCCAATTACCCTTAAAAACACATACATGCCGAGACATGACGTCACCATCCGATTCTATACAGTGAATCGGCAACCTTGCACGTGTAAGCGCGTACGGACGAACGAGAGCACGTGCGTGAACCGGCTGAACCGGATGCGAACCGGGCGGTTCTCTCTAGAACCGAGCAGTTCCCGATTTTATGGTGGAACCGGCATGGGCTGGTCGGATCCCGAGTCGAACCGGGCGAGAACAGGGCGAGTCCGGTTCGACTCGCCGATTTTTAAAACACTGTATAAGAGTAAGGCCCTAAACAATCAAATTACGGCACACCTCAAAAAATCATTAAAAGATGTTGTTTTGAGGTCCAAAAAGCCTCAAATTGATTATCTCGATCTCAAGATATATGAACATGAGAAAAAAAAATAGAATTATAATGCATTTCTAGACTGTTAATTTTCAAGATTATCAAGTGTTTATAGATCTGCTCTATCTATATTATTTTTCAAGTGTTCATAACTTTTCATACCATCAAAACGTTATTCAGTGCTGAAATAATATCTTTCGACACTATTTAGAGGTGCGCCTTACTTTAATTGTTTAGTACCTCAGCCTCACAT